AAATTAAATGAGTCAAGTCGGATAAAAAATAAAGAAATTATAATTAATACAATATTATCATACCATCTGGTCAGCCGTCATCCTAAAATAGACGTAACTGGACCAGTCTTGGTCCGAGACTCCACCAGGTACATCTGCCAGTATCTCCTGGAGGGGCCTCGTCCCGTCACCTTTCTTCTCCCTCCACAGGTCGGCCCTCCTGTTCTTCCATGCCATCTCGAGCCTCTTGATCGTGTCAGCCCTCAACTCCTCCCCCAGAATAAATTTACTCTATGATTAAAATAATAATTAACTAAATAACAAATTTTAAACAAATAATTAAGCAATTTCAATAATAAAAACAAATAATTAGTTTTTAACTAATTTAAGAATATTATAAATAAAATATAAATTAATCAAAAAATAATAATAATTAAACAATTAAGTAATTTAAATGAAAAATATTTTTACTCAACTAAATTTAAAATTATTATAAGTAATAAATTAATGAAATCAATAACAAATTATTTTCATTTAACTACTTTTAAATAATTTAAATAAAAATATATATATTCATTTAACTACTTTTAAAATATTATAAATAACAAACAAATTAAATAAATAAAAAATTATAATCAAACAATTAAATTATTTGAAAACAAAATATATAATCATTTATTTAAATTAAAAAAAATTATAAATAACAATTTTATATTACCTTCATTATTTCTCAGCCTTGCTGCTTCTTGTCTGAGGTGATCTTCTTCCAGTCCTGCACGTAGATGGGGAACAGCGTCCACTGCTGACCAAGGAGGCGCACGTACTTGTTGTACAACTGGCCACCTTTCTTCGTCGGTTGCCCCAACTCATTGAGCGGCACAACCACTCGTCCGCTCGTCATCATAGACAGCTCTCTGGCTGTCAACCTCCGATAGGACCTGTTCCCCTCAGTGTCTGCAAAATTTAATTAAGAAATAAATTATATATCAATAAATTAATACAATTTCTATATAAATTAAATACTGATCAAAACTTTAAAAAGTTAAATAAATACTTACCGACAAATTCCACCTCATAACCAGCCTGACGTCTCGGAGCAAGACGCTGCGCAGCCTGGGGATACTCATTCCCCTGATCCTGCTCCTCCTCCTCCTCCTCGTCAGCAGCATCAGCATCAGCATGGGGTTGCTCATCCCCAGTAAAATGAGCTTCCTCAGTCCGCTCAACATCATCCTGCTCCATAAAACTGAGGATATCCTCCTCGCTAAGATCGTAGTCATGAATGCTGGGGAATGGCTCACTAGCATCATGATGAACCTCACTGGGTCCAGCTCTCTCATGATCAACTGGGTCTTTCCCGTGTCGACGAGTCATCCTAATAACAATAAATAGTAATTATTTATAAATGAAATAAAAAGAAAAATTATTTATAAGCTACAACATAATAAAATAAATAAAATAAAACATAAAATAAAAAGTATTTATCAATAAATTACTATTTTTACCTGAAAATAAGGATCTGCAACTGAATCAGAACTCGAATATGTTTGTGGAGAAAATTCAGCAGAGCTTCGCTTCCAAAACGATTGAAGAAGAGAGAGTGTGGGGGGGTATATATAGACCGAGAATTCCTAGCGGTTCGGTCCAAACCGCTAGAAATTCCTAGCGGTTCGGTCCAAACCGCTAGAAATTTCTAGCGGTTTTGGGCCGAACCGCTAGGAATTCCCAACGGTCACATGTGCCTCGGGAATTGGCTAGCGGTTCGGTCCAAACCGCTAGCAATTTCTAGCGGTTCGGTCGAGAACCGCTAGAAATTCTGGCGGTTCGGCCTAGAACCGCTAGAAAGTGCTCGCGGTTCTGGACCGAACCGCCAGAATTTCTAGCGGTTCTCGACCGAACCGCTAGAAATTTGTAAACTCCTCGAGGAATGAAAAATATTTCTACTGGTTCATGCATCAACCGCTAGAATTTTTCAGTGTCTAGCGGTTTATTAGCCTGAACCGCTAGAAAGTAAACGCTACAAATTTGGTGCCAAGTTCCCGCCAAAGCCCGGGGAATTTTCTAGCTCTAATTTTCTAGCGGTTAGGTGGTAACCGCTAGAAATGTGCGGGCAATGGTCAAACCGTCTGTCTTTTTGCAGCGCTTTTTATAGAAACCGCTAGAAATATTTGGAATTTCTAGCGGTTTAGTTGAACCGCTAGAAATGTTCCGCTGCTACTTCAACATTTTCTTGTAGTGGAAGGGCAATTTAGACTGGCGAAAAGATTTGGGGTATGATAAATCCTCCCTCGATTCCTTTTCATGAGAAACAATTGTAACTTGTAAGCACTTTTTATTATATATAAATTTCTTTTTTTGTTCAAAAAAAATTGAAAGACAATTGTTGCATATGACATGTTGCTTTCTATAAAACACACGGAGAAGTTGACCAAATCCTGTTTGTTAATTTCTCATATTACTCATATTTAATTATTTACATTACTTATATCATTGTATTTAATTCTCACATATTCTCTCCACCAAACATTCACTCTCTTTCCCATAAATGATAGCATTTTTAAAAAAAGATTACATTTTTTATATATTTATTATTTCCAATTAATTTTAACTAATATTTTAGATGACGTGATTTGTTTAATTGTATCTTATAAAAAGTAACGAACGAAGTAATAAGTAATAAGATTGACGTGCGCTAAACATTCTAAACTATTTTTTCAGGTACACTCAATGTTTTAAAAAAAAATTTATAATGCAAATTCAACCTTAAACTAATTCTTTTAGTGTAATCTCATTCAATCCTACTGGAGAATTTAATTTTCACTGTTAAAATGCTAACTAGACAAACATTTGACTAAAGATTGTATAGGTGGCCTTTGAGTAGGATTGCTTACCAGGCAATATGTCTTATTGAAATTTTTTGCCCTCAGCCCACCAGCAACCGCGTTTACCGGCGACTTCTTCCATCTTTTCCGGCAAACAAAAGACCCATAAACCCAAATCCTTCTCTCTTCCATTCTCTCTCCCCTCCGGGGCCCTTCTCTCTTTCCATTCCAAACGTGTTTTTTTTTTTTTTGGAGTGAAAAGCATCCCCTCAAGCCCAAAAATCCAAACCCCACTTTTACTATCCCTCCAATCTAACTTCGCCTTCGTTGGCATCGACTTCAGCGGTGGAAGACTTCAGACGATGCGATGTTGGAGAGACAAGAAATTGATGGGCTCTTGAGGTAAATTAAAAGCTAACTCTGAAGAACAATGAACAAGCCCGTCAAAGCCTAGGATCACCATATTACCAATCGACCTTTAACAATGGAGGCCTATGAAACTTCACCCATAAAACTCGTCAGACAATCAGTAACATATTCCACAGTTACATTCTTCAATCTTCATCGCAGCTCCTTCACTGAACAATGTTACCCGTTCCACCTCCGGACATCAACCCAAACCAATTCCGGCGACAAATTCAGGGACCACAAGCTGCCTCATTGAGGTAGACATACATATCTCAAGATTCTCGTTCTAGACTCGGAATCGACGGCGATGAGAATATGAGATCCCCTCTCCTTCTTTTGCCGAAAGCCCTCGCGATGATTTCCTAGGGCAGTAACGTCTCGTCATCGTCTGCAACAGTTGGATGCCAAAGTTCTAGGGGCAAGGGAGGCTCGACTGGTTGTTTTCCGCGGGGATGATATGGTAGCTCTGATTTTCATTCGGGTTAGCAGGTTTTGATTTTTGAGCGATTCAGGCTCAGCTCTTTCAATTATTTTCTATTTTTTGGCGTTAAAATGCCCATTTGAAATTTGGAAGGAAAAAAAACGTTTTGTTTAAACAAAATCGAGAACACCTAAGCCAGGTCAGCTGCTTACTTAGATGCCATCTCACAATTTTTGGGTCAAACTCTTGCCTACTTGGCAACTTAATGATAAAAAATAAAGTTCGTCTGTTATGGAAGAATGAAATTGCACCATTAAAATAATTAAACACAAAATCGCATTAAGAATAATTTTAAAATGCTGAATACATATGAAAAAATAATTCAGGGTGGTGTTAAGCTCTTAAACCTAAGTAATACTCTCTGCCTCTTGTTTCCTGCGCCTCCGATGTTCCCCATGCATCGAAGTTGGTATCATGTGCTCAATATCCAAGCTAAGGGAGGCACCTCAATTTTCTACACAATTTACATACAATTTAAAATTGTATTTATAGTTTTAAAAATAATAAATCTTTTAAAATTTATTATAAGTTTAGTAAGATTAGAATTAGAAAAATATATCCCATAATAGTTGTATGTGAAGGTGTGTAGATATAATTGATACAAATTATTTAGTGAGACCCATTAATTTTAAAATTACTAAATATTAATGCTGATCTTGAATATAAAATTTCAATTTATTTTTTGTAATTTTTTTCAAACTAATTTGTTTAACTTATAAGTCAATTTATAGTATGTAATGTTATATCCCTATTTTAGAAAAATTCATGTCATATTTATTATATATAAATAATTTATATAGTTTATTTAGTCTACTCAAATTAATTAATAGGTAATTCTTATATTAAATAATAGTAATAACTTCAGTTTTTAATATAAAAATTAGTTGGCTAATTTGAATAGATTAAGAAAATAAATTTAATTAGTTATGTGTAATAAATAAGTATTGTCTTTCATAAAATATTTTGCTAATCATATCTATTAGCTAAAATTATCATTTGATGAAGTATTTAATATGTGAAATTACTATATAAGACTTACCTTAAAAAATAAATAAATATGATAAATAAAGTGAATTAGAGTTTTAAATTTACAAGCAAAATAAGTATCAAACTAGCTCTTATATTAATGACTCAAGAAGGAAGAATTAAATATAGATTATACAGATATACGAATTTAATAATGTATTTAAATATAGATTGCGTCCCATGTGAAATTATAATAAACAAACCATGTGCATTTCCTTTCTACCCAGTCGCACCTACCATTTTCACCGCTGACGAAGACCAAGTGGAGTCTCTGCTCTCTCCACTTCTTCGCTTCTCCTCCAAAATTAAGTTCGTTACATTGCACGGTGATTATATTTAGGTCTAAAGATTTCAACGGATTTTGATAATCAAGAGATATGTTTGTGCTGAATCCGGCGAGTTCTCTTGCTTCAAATCTCTCCGACAACGCCTTCCGCCGATCTCCCGCGACCCACGCCGGTGCTTTCACCGGAAGACGCCGGAAGAGCCGTATCTTGGCTCCCAGCGGGTCTCGGGTCGTCAACTGGAATGTGACGAGCATTCGAGCCGTGATCAGCAGCAGTAGCGGCGGCAAGACGGCTGATACCGCCACGTCTCCGGCCGATGGAACGGTGCCGTCGTCAACTTCTTCTGGAAGTGAAGGAATCCAAGTGAGGGCGGTAGTGACGATCCGGAAGAAGATGAAGCAGAAGATTACTGATAAGTTGGAAGATCAGTGGGAATCGTTGGTGAACGGGTTCGGCCTGGGAATCCAGATTCAGCTCATCAGTGAGGAAATCGATCCTGGTTAGATTAATCACATTCTTTCACTTGCAATTTTATTTTAATCTGTTTTCTTGGTTGGCTGGTTGGTATTTTGTTTTCTTCTGCCTCTCATGTGCATGGATTTGAGGGTCGAGGACCCACTGCACAATTAATTGATTAATTAATTAGTTTAATATTTTCAAACTCCGGGACATCCTGCATGCATACATTGGTTTACATGATATATTATAATATCTGCTGATGTGGAAACTAGGAAGGCATAATAATGTTTCACTTTGGTATAATATTACCTCTCTGTCTAAGTATAAAAATTAGTTAAAATTTTAATTTGATATTAAATATAATACTCAAATTTATAATGTTTTTTATACTTTTTTTTTCTAAAGTAGTTTTCATGATAATTGTATATATATGATTAACAAAAATATTTTAAGAAAAACAACACATATTTATTACACACAATTAATTTAATTAATTTTTATAGTATTTATTAATTACTTATCTAGCTTTTATATTAATTGGCATTTTAGTGTTATTTTTATCATTTTCTTTTAATTTATTCCCTCTAGTCAGCTTCATACTTATAGGACGTTATTAATTAAAAGATAGTGCTTTATTTTAGATATTTTGTAGAAAATAATGATTCCTTAATAACTTTGTTTCAAAAATATTCTTCATTTATTAGGTGTCAATTAATCTGGGGTTCATATTAAATGAAAGACATTTTTAAAAGTTTATATTTTTCTTCAGAAAGATTCAAGTGTAGCTAAGTATATTTAATGAGGTTCGTTGATCTTCATATTAACTTAAAAAATGTCTTATAATTAAAAATTAAGAATGTCTTATAAATTAAAATAGAGGAAACATTATTTTTGATACCCTATTAAAGTGACATATTGTTTATACTACCTCCGGTTCTTAATATAAGATCTCATTTGATTTTTATTTTAGTCCTTAATATAATGTCCCAATCCACCTCGTCTCTCATGTTTATGCATTTTTTTAAGGTGATCCTTCTAATAATAATAGTTTTAGCCAATATACTTAATTAGTAAGAATATTTTAGAAAATACAATACCTATATGTAACAAATAACTAACTTAACTTGTTTTCTTAACCTTCTCATATTAGTTAAATAGTTCTTATATTCAGGATTATTACTTAATTTCGTATATTAGATGGGATATAAGAAAGTGCTGGCTGGATCTTTGTGGTTTGGCAGCTTCTACATACCGGCCTCAATAATCAGTTAATAATTCCATGCTAGTGGTGACAGAAACAAAAAGGTGGTCATCTTTTTCGCTTCCCATAACACTTCTTATCTCAAAATTCTTTGATGAATCATCAATTTCATGTGTCACTATCCATATATGTACTATATATAATTTCAAGCACGCATATATCATGCCACGTATGTGTAACCTGCAATAAATTATGCTCTTCGGTCAAAAAAAATAAATTATACTCTTCCTCCTGCACTGTACTTAATTAACTTAAGAGCTATCTAAATATTCTAAATAAATTTTAAAAATCTAAATAAATTATTTAATTCTAATAGGTGTGACATAATCTCCCTAGAGCACCTCTATGTAACATTAAATTGTATATCAATTTATAAGATAAAAAAATTTGTTTAGAAAAATAATAAACATAAAAAATAAAATGGATTAATATCTTACATTTAGGATCATAAGCAACTCCTAACTAGGAGAAGTTATACTACTTCCGGTCCTTAATATAAGGCCCTATTTGACTTTTATTTTGGTCTTAAATATAAGATCTCAATCCATTTTGTCTCTTATATGTATACATTTTTTTCCAAAGTAGCCCTTCTAACAATGATAGTTCTAGTCAATACATTTGATTAGCAAAGATATTTTAAGAAAGACAACATCTATTTAGGACAAATAATTAACTCAACTTACTTCCTTAATCTCCTCAAATTAGTTAACTGGTTCTTATAATTAGAACCGGAGGTAGTATTTCATAAACAATATAACTTACTTCTCATATTTTATCTAATTATTTTATATGCAAAATGCTACTTCTCTGATTCTATCATAGTTTATCAGAACCAAAAAAAAAAAGCTTTAAATCTCATCAATTCTACTTTAAAATTTAAACAAATTTTTAATTTTAACGCCGTTTAATATATATACACTTTTTTTAAAAAAATAACAATCTACATAATAATAAGTAAAAAGTAAAATAATATATTTATATTTAAATTTAATAATGTGCTTATAAATATGACCAAAAACAATTCTCTCTTTACCTTATAAAGAGCATTTTGTTTTTATATGTAAGTTATTTGTACCACATTCTTTGATTCTTGCGTATTAATAAGTGTATTAAATTGAAAAAAAATTTTAAAATTTTTCACAATTGCTTCTATTAAAATTAAGGAAAGTTTATTGAAAAAAATATGTTGTATGTTTTCTCTTACCTGTTTTTTTATTGTATTATATTAATAAAAAAAAAGGGGAACCATTAATTACCTTACAGATAATTTTTACTTAAGAATAAACTTTTCTCTTAAAAAGGCAAAAAGAAATTTAATTCTTTAATTTGATGTAGAAAAAAAACACTTTCTAGTTTTTAATTATTTTAAAAGAAATAAGTGTTCTTAAATATTTACTTTAAATTGTCAGGAGAATTGATATGAAATCTCAAATAAGAAACATAATTATTAAGAAATCTCAATAATAATAGAGCAATATGCAATAATAAGTTATAGGATAATAAATGATAACTATTTACTTGCTAGTTGCCATTTAGTAATTATGTTGTTTTCTTGAAACTTCACAGTAATTCTCTCTAAAATATAGTGTGAATTTAGGGTGTGTTTGGATAGAAACCAAACTATGATTTCAGAAGTGTTTTTACGGATTACAAAGTAAATATGTGGATAAAATTATTTCGTTTTACGAAAAAGTGCTTCTGAAACCACGATTTTGGGATACCCAAACAGGGCCAGTCACTAATCAATTTAGGTGGTCAAATCATTTCATTTAATTTAATTTTCTGCCATTTAAGTTTTAATGTTATCTTATTTTTCCCAGTCACTAATTCGGGAAAGAGCATTCAGACGAACGTTAGAGGGTGGCTACCAAAGCCGTCGAACATTTCTTACATCGTCGAATACTCTGCTGATTTCACAGTCCCAAGCGACTTTGGATCCCCCGGTGCCATTCTCATCACCAATCTTCATGGCAAGGAGTTCCACTTGTTGGAGATCATCATTCATGGCTTTGAAGGAGGTCCCATTTTCTTCCCAGCAAATACTTGGATCCATTCTCGCAATGACAATCCTGAAAGTAGAATCATCTTCAAGAATCAAGTGAAAAAACCCTAACCTTACCTTCTTCTTTCGCTTATTAAATTTCTTGTAGATTGTGATATTTTTTGTGGAGTTATCGTTTCTCTGCTAACATAATCTTAGTGTTCGAACAGGCATACTTACCATCACAAACACCAGCTGGTATTAAAGATCTTCGACGTGAAGATTTGCTAAGCATCAGAGGTACTGGAAAAGGAGAGAGAAAGCCTCATGATAGAATATACGATTATGCTCCTTACAATGACTTGGGAAATCCTGACAAGGACCAGGACATCGCTAGACCGGTCGTAGGGGGTGACGAAAGGCCTTACCCGAGGCGTTGTAGAACCGGTCGGCCCCCAACCTCCACAGGTATATATTGCATTTTTTTAATATTTTTTTCTTAAAAAAATAAAGAACAATTTTTGCATATACATGCATATATTATTTAAGTTCTTGATCTTATATGATTTAGTCTTCCAAATATTTGACTCTGATGTGTTTTGAGACTGAAGTATAGAAAGACAAAAGGTTTGAAGTATTGAATCATACAAGTTCAAGGGCTAAATAGTTAGTTGAGAATGAGCGAATTTGAATTAATATTTTCTGCCTTTTAAATATATATTTATGGTATTTGGAGAAGCGGTTCTGATCTTACCAGCAACATGGTTGGTGTGGTTGTGAATAGATCCACTGACTGAGAGTAGAATTGAAAAGCCACATCCTGTATACGTGCCTCGTGATGAAGCATTCGAAGAAATCAAGCAGGATACTTTCTCTGCTGGAAGGGTGAAAGCTCTGTTCCACAATCTTATTCCTTTGCTTGCTGCAACGCTGTCAAGTTCAGACATTCCATTTAACTGCTTTTCCGAGATTGACAAGCTTTATATTGATGGAGTTGTTCTGAGAGGTGAAGAGCATAAAAACATGTTAGAGAATCTATTATTGGGCAAGATGATGAAACAGGTCGTCAGTGTTGGAGAAAGATTGTTAAAATATGACATCCCAGCTGTTATAAAGAGTATGTTACTTCTGCTAGTTCCGTTTCTAGTTTCATGAGTGATGTTAATATGAGATTCATTCATTCATGTTAGTGAGTACGTCTACTTTAACAAGTCTGAAAAACACATTCTCGTCATCCGTACTAGTTTTTATACCTGTTCAGGGGATAGATTCTCTTGGCTGCGAGACAACGAATTTGCAAGGCAGACTCTCGCTGGGGTGAATCCAGTAAATATTGAGTTGTTGAATGTAATATTTATAATAACAATCAATGGTTACTGATGTTTTCATTTGTTTGTTAGCAATACCGTTAATAATTTCTTTGTTACTTGTCTTCCACAGGAATTTCCTATTCGCAGCAAACTAGATCCTGTTGAGTATGGTCCTTCAGAGTCAGCAATAACCAAGGAACTACTGGAACAAGAAATTGGAGGAATGAGCTTGGAAAAGGTTTCTGTTTTTCTAGTTTCGCCTGACTTGTTTATTTAATAGAAGTTCAAACCCCATTATCTTCTACCTCTTATTTTTACATTGGCAGGCTATTGAGGAAAAAAGACTATTTATCCTAGACTTCCACGACATGCTTTTGCCTTTTATCAAGAAGATGAACTCTTTGCCTGGGAGGAAAGCCTATGCCTCAAGGACAATTCTCTTCCATAGTCCCAAGTGTATTCTGCGGCCTATTGCTATTGAGCTTTCTCTTCCTCCAACACCATCATCACCAGGGAATAAGCGGGTTTATACACATGGCCATGATGCTACAGCACACTGGATTTGGAAGTTAGCAAAAGCTCATGTTTGCTCTAATGATGCTGGTATCCATCAACTAGTAAATCACTGGTAAGACAACACAAAAAGCTGATTTCGAACAGTATGGAAAAACTCCAAAATACATCGTATCTATAGTGCTTCTACAATTGTAAAAGTTCATGATAATTCTGAATGAATTTACCTTTTAAATTTAGTTATTCAGCAGAGAAAGTGGACATTGTCATAATGGGCTGAAATGAAGATGTTTCGGTACTTGTTAATGTGCAGGTTAAGGACTCATGCATGCATGGAGCCATATATAATTGCCACTCATAGACAGCTAAGCTCAATGCACCCCATTTACAAGCTGCTACATCCTCATATGCGCTACACACTGGAAATTAATGCACTAGCACGACAGAATCTAATAAATGGAGGGGGAATAATTGAGGCTTCCTTCAGTCCAGGAAAGTATGCAATGGAGCTTAGCTCAGCAGCCTACAAGAATATGTGGCGGTTTGATATGGAGTCACTTCCAGCAGATCTTATTCGAAGGTAAACTTTGCTTGTATCGCTAATTCAATGACAAAAACTCCTAGCTTTCAAATTTTCCCCTGTTGTCTCTTTTTTGCTAGCTCACTAATAGGTTTTTCTGTGTCCAATGTGTTTCTATTCTTTCTTCTAGTTTTATTTCCAACTATTCCTGTGGATCTCAAATACAAGACATTGGAAGGAAGGTTTCTTCGTCCCAAAATATAAAACATAAGGGGTCTGTTTGGTGCATTAAATATTTTAACCCTAATTATGAATCTTTCACAAAAATAAGAAGAGTGATTTCCAAAGCATGAGAAAGACTTATAGGGAGAAATTAATCATTTGGCTAGAAGGGGTAAGTGTGGAAAGAATTTTGTTTCAGGAAAAATTTAATGACAAAAAACTGTCTCCAACCAATTTCCTTGGTATGTGTAAATTAGTTGCAGTATCTTGTATTTGAGACCAAAGGGAATACGACATTGACAATACCAGTGGCATATTGATTCTTTTTCTTTTGTTCCTAGGGGAATGGCTGTAGAAGACCCTTCAATGCCATGTGGTGTAAAACTGGTGATTGAAGACTACCCCTACGCTGCAGATGGACTCCTAATTTGGTCTGCCATAAAAGAATGGGTAGAGTCATATGTTGAGCACTTTTATTCTGACTCAAATTCTATCACATCTGATTTCGAGCTCCAAGCATGGTGGAATGAAATTAAACATAAGGGTCATCACGACAAAAAGAATGAGCCCTGGTGGCCTAAACTCGAGAGCAAAGAGGATCTCTCTGGCATACTTTCCACGATGATTTGGGTAGCGTCAGGTCAACATGCTGCAATAAACTTTGGACAATACCCTTTTGGAGGGTATGTGCCTAATCGTCCTACCCTAATGAGGAAACTCATTCCCCAAGAAAATGAACTTCATTATGAGAAGTTAATTCAAAATCCTCAGCACTTTTTCTTATCATCATTGCCTACTCAACTTCAAGCTACCAAAATAATGGCAGTTCAGGACACATTGTCCACTCATTCCCCTGATGAAGAGTATTTAGGTCAATTGAATCCATTGCATACTCACTGGATCAATGACCAAGAGATCCATAAATTGTTTAGTGTATTCTCTGCTAGACTTGAGGAGATAGAAGATATAATCAATGCAAGAAACAAAGACGTCCGTCTGAAGAACAGAAGTGGTGCTGGCGTTCCTCCTTATGAACTATTGCTTCGGTCATCAGGACCAGGGGTAACAGGTCGTGGAATTCCCAATAGCATATCTATTTGATTTCTCGTTAGCGCAAGTATTGAAACCTGGACCGAACTGGCTGGTCGGACTAGTGACCTAGTCACCGGACCAGTCTGGTCAACCAATGAAAATGGGAATTAATTGACTTGGGATCAACGTGATTTATTTGGGATTAACCTAGTGCAACCCGTCAATCATTTGGATTGAACAGGTCAATTGGATTGGATTTTACATAATTTTTCCCCTTTGCTGAGCCTGGAACAACATTGTATTGAGTGGGGAAAAGAAAATAGAAGCTCATCGTATTTGTGATTTAGTGACTCTATTTTGTTAGATTATATGTGTCTTATGTATGAATGTTTCAATTACTTGTAATTAATGCCTTTTTTATTTAAATATTGCTTTTTATGGTTATATATAAATATTTTTGTTTATTTTAACTAAACTGTATTATTCTAATTATGATTAATTCGACCTCAATCCTACTCCGATTAGATTGCTAACCCTCATATTATTGCTTTGATTGGTTTGGTGACTAGTTTGATTCTCAATACCTTGATTGTTGCTTCTATCTCATTTTGTTGGCAGAAAAATTGTAGATGTAAGCATGCATATCTATTTTTATTTGTGATTTACTGTTTTGTTCTCTGCTTACAAGATGCAAGAATATATATTAAAAATTAAAATTACAAAAAAGAAAATAGAAATAGTTTAAGGTGATAACAATATGCTGATAAAAATGAAACCCATTCCTCTTTTTAAAATTTACGTCTCTCAATCAATGATTCATAATTATTCATAAAACAACATAATGTATCAAGTTATAGTAGCCAAGCAGAAACTATTCTTCATGGAAATGATGTCATACACTTAGAGTTATTCTTGAATCTTCTTCCATAAGTGATCACCAAAAAAAAAAAAAAATCCACTTGTTTACAAGACCACAGTTCACTCTGAAGTGGGAACATCACCCTCTTACTGTCACAAAATATAGGCAGTAAAAGATTGGGACCTAAATTTATGCATGCTCAGGTGGCATGAGGGTCCTGATTTCTTTCGCCCAAATATTTTATATTTGACGACACGGTGAAGAGAATAAATTAAGTTCTTCTCAATATAAACTTCTATTTTCTCGAAATAAAGATAAAACGTCCAGCTCCAATTCATTAATCCAGCCCAAGCCCAAGTCCAGTAGTCAGCCTAATAGCCTTTAGTCTGTTATGAAATTTGTAAAGGGAAAACCATATTGAAGGTACCTATACTTTTTCTTAATTTTTAATTTGGTACCTATGTGTTTTTTCCCTTTAATTAAACATTTAATTTTATCTTTTTAGCAACATTAGCTCTTATAACTTTGTTCTATTGATATTTTTAGTCTCTACATAAGGATTAATGATGTTAATAGAGGAAAAATAAAGATTTAGTTAAGAACAAAAAAACACATAGGTACCAAATTGAAAATTGAAAAAAAGTATAAGTACCTCCAATATGGTTTTCCCAATTTGTAAATACGTGTTGTATATTGCTTCCTTAGAATATTGTAGAAGGTGTATGGTGGCACACTCTCATTGGTTGTATTGTACCAGCTAGTAGTTACAGTGTATATAATACTACTTCTAATATTTAATAAAAGAGCTAGTTTACTAATTTAAATAGGTTAAAGAATTAGTTAATTTAATTATTTATATTAAATATTTGTTATCTTCTCTAAATATTCTTGCTAATCAAGTATATTAATTATAATTACTATTTAATAAAATATTTAATATGTACAACCACTATAAGAACTGTTTTAGAAAAATATAAATAAATATGAGAAATAAAATAAATTAAGATTTTATATTTAAATTCAAATAAAAATGAAATCTCTGAGATGCTATACATTCTTTAGGTTTCTCAAGAATTGAGAGAGGATCTCAGCAATTTTGTATCGCTCTTTTATTTTGAATTCCCGGTGTTCAGGGGACAAAGATAGCGAGAGAAGTTGATGCAATAGGCCATTTTAATTTTAATTCTACTTTAAATATTGTAGAAAGCATGTAAATTGTGGCTCACTAAGTGCGATATCATTTGTTTGTGTCTAATATTCTTGTGGTTGACATTGACATTCCACTACTGTTATTATTTATTTTTCCTTTGGATTAAAATTCAAGATGATAAAAATGCATTTTTTAATTTTATAAATATTTCATTTTAATCCATTGATTTTATAAAATATTTTTTCTCTTTAATAACAACAAAATACTGACCTTAAAATTTTAAGTAGGGAGAATTTCACTTAATCCTTGTTGAACAAATTTAATTTCCAAAAACATTCAAAAAATCACTGCACCCGTTTTGACTAAAATAAAATTAAAAATTATAAGCGAAGAACAATTATGCCCTCACTTTATTTTTATTTTTATTTTTAAAAGATCAACCACCGCTGGAGCTTCGACCATTGAAGAATTTTTGTTTAATAAGATGGTTAATGGAGGTTTGAACTCATGATCTCTTAGCACAATTAAACAAAATGCAAAAAAAAAAAAAATCTGTAACAAAACAAATACAAGTGTATGATTGTAAATAAACAAGTGAAATTTGATATTTAGAACCAAAATTTAGCGATTTATAAGAAATATAAGAGAATTCATAACCTTTAAATACAAGTGTTTATATGTGAATGAATAAATAAAATTCGGTGATTTGCAATCCAAATTTGATGATTTACAAGAAACATAAAAGAATTCATAACTCTTAAATGCAAGTGTTGATGTGTCATTAAACAAGTAAAATTAAGCGATTTATAACCCAAATTCGTTGATTTATATGATAAATAAGAAAATTTATGACCTCAAGTGTAAGTTTAAGATGTGAACGAATAAGTAAAATTTGGCGATTTATAACCTGAGTTTATTGATTTACAAGAAATATAAACATAAGGGAATTCACTTAAGTTTCTTGTAAATCGTCAAATTTGGATTGTATATCATTGAATTTTGACTATAAATTGCTAAATTTTATTTGTTTATTTACACTTAGAGACTTGTATTTGCGGTTGTAAATTGTTTTATGTTTCTCGTAAATCATCGAATTTAGATTGTAAATGATTGAATTTCACTAATTCACTCGCATCTAAACACTTGTATTTGAGGGTTGTGAATTCCTTTATGTTTCTTACACATCTTTAAATTTGAATTGTAAATCTCCAAATTTCACTTGTTCATTTAAAGTTAAACACTTCGATTTGTTTTGTCGCATATTTTTACTTGCATCATATGATTAAGTGAACTAGATGGGTTAGTGGTGATAATTTTTTTGGTGTAGTAAGGAGTCATGAGTTTAAACTCTGTTTTGGCCACTTTATTTTTAAAAACAAAAAACCTCGGACTACTGGATGTCGGTGGCCATCAGCAAAAAATCGGAGCTCTGCAGTGGTTGATCATTTTTTTCAAAAAAATAAGAAATAATGCGAAATCATAATGTCTATAAATATATATATATATATATATTGGCCAATGCTGCTACTTCATTGGTAGGCAAATATAAGCAATATTACAAAATTCAATTACTATCTTCAATTTTTAATATAATGACTAGTTTGATATTTAATTTAGTCTTAAATATGAGATCTCAATTCACTTTATCTTTAATATTTATCTATTTTGTCCTTAAGTAATTTTTATAGTAGTTGTATATATTAAGAAGTTACTATTAATAGCTAATTTAAACACATATGATTAATAAATATATTTTAGGGAAGACAACATTTATTTACTACAAATAACTAACTGAACTATCTTACCTAATTTCTTCAAATTAATCAAGTAAATGTTATACTCCTCCGGTCCTTAATATAGGACCTAATTCATGAGTTGGTTTTGGTCCTAAATATAAGACCCATTTCTTATATTTATCAATTTTCTCTAAAGTACCCCTATGAATAATCCCTCAACCATAATCAAGTAGAAGAGGAAGATGGGGTATTAAGAAAGATGATTATGGTGTTTTAGGAAAAATGTGTAACTTTTCTTATAATTAACTAACTTACCTAACTTCATTAATCTAATCAAATTAGTTAAATGGGTCTTATATTAAGGACAGGAGGAGTATTAAGTATGGGAGTAGTAATATTCAAGGTTATGCTTACAAAAATATTCTATGTAATTATCAGTTCAACTATTCATTTATTGCCAAAATGATGCCAATTGTATCTCTTATTGTTTCCTTCAGGCGAGACGTTGAGTTCCAAATCCCCAACACTGATAAGTGATCCACGAAATCCATGAATGGAAAGGAAGAAAGTTACGGTTAATCCAAGAAGTACTTTGTTTTTTTAAAACATATTTCTAACATTCTTTCATCTAACATTTTAGAATATTTTTACAAGTATTTAAAGCCTTTAAAATATTTAATAATTGATTTAGCATCTTAAAATATTTTTTTGCGTTAAACACCATAAATACCTGAACTCTATGTTCTAAAATACCTGAACTCTTAAGTTCTAAATAAAGTCTTATGCACACTTACAAAAACACTTAAAAATACTAAATAAATTACAGAATATTTTACAGTGACAATGTCCTTGGAAAAAAAAAAATCGAAGTGCTAAAATGAATTTAAAAAGAACAAAAACAGAGTTCTAACTTCTAAGCAACGGTCACTTTTACGCACGTCTGGGCCTCGAAATTTGTGGGACCATGAAAAGGTGTAAGCCACGCGTCACCACAAGACGAAGACAACTAAGGAAGCTCACAATTTCGCGAAACACCTTATAATTTCTCTTACGATGCCTGGAGATTTGAGGAAGCAGACTAAAGCTGAAACTAGACAGAGAGAGAAGAATTCAGCATGTTCTGTCACTTTCGGCGTCCGAAATCGCTCTCCAGCACCAACTTCTCGCGACAATGCATGCCATTATTCGTCACATTTAACGGTGATATTTCATCCGCCGATTTGATTCCATGAATCATGGCCAATCTCGATTCAGAACCAGAGCAAGTTCCTTATTTGACGCCCCTTCTCGCTTCAAGTTCAAATCCGAATCAAAACGACATTGAAGTAGATGAAGCACAACAAGAAGAGAATGATGAAGAGGTTCGACTGGATCAAACACTTCGACGTTTGGAAACGTTTCTCACTGTACTTGGGTTCAATCAGTCTTCGGTGTTAGGCTTTGCTCTGTCTTGGAGTGCGTTCATGGCTGTCGGTGTGGTAGTTCCGCTATTGGCGCTTCATTTCAGTGATTGCTCCAACTGTGAAAAGTATCAGATTAGGAATTTTGAGATGGACGTTGTGGCCCTTCAGGCGTGCCTCGCCGCCGTCTCCTTGGTTTGCCTCTCCCATAATCTGCGCAAGTACGGTTTAAGGAGGTTCCTCTTTGTTGACCGTCACAGTGGGCAAATAGCCAGCTTTCGCAAAGATTACGTTAAACAAATTTTGGTGAGCAAATTCAAGTTTTTTTAGGTATAGACGTGTGGCCAATCACTGTAAAAATTCTACTTTCACAAAGATTACGTTAAACAAATTTCGGTGTGCAAATTCAAGTTTTTTAGGTATACACATGTGGCCAATCAGTGTAAAAATTATCTGCACATTTACAAATTTATGTTTTTTTATTATATTTGTTTCTGTTACATCACTGTGATCATTACTGCAAACTTCTGAAATGTCACCATGCTCTAGTTCATAAAAATTCTCCCAGAAGTGGTGTAAATCTATGTCAGTTTTACAATTTTATGATCTTGGGGTTCTTGATACCATTGTCTTCTACGTACAAGCTGAGCTCCATTGATCCGTTTGCTCCGCTCTGTACCTTCCTTTTTTTTTTCCTATCAATGGGGTAGGGGATTCACCATTAAGCAGTGTTAAGACTTGTATTTTTCATTTTTCCCCCTTTAGGAGTCTATGCGCTTGCTCGTTCTGTGGCTACTGCCATGTTTCCTGTTGAAGATGGCCCGAGAAATCATTCGCCTTATATATGTACGTCGTGAGTCATGGTGGCTCTCAGTTGCTATTTTATTAGCTTTAACAATATCTTGGACTTATGTGAGTACAATCTCTCTATCAGCCAGCATTTTGTTTCACTTGGTCTGCAATTTGCAAGTTATCCACTTCGATGATTATGGGAAGCTCTTAGAAAGGGAATCTGATGTGTTAGTATTCATGGAAGAGCACATACGGTTGCGTTATCATCTCTCAAAAATAAGCCACAGGTTCAGAATATATCTTCTTCTGCAATTCTTGGTTGTCACAACTAGCCAATTCGTGACTCTGTTACAGATCACAGTATACGGGGGAATAATTTCTTTAACAAATGGTGGAGATTTTGCTGTAAGTTCGATTATCCTAATCATTAAGGAGTTACTTAGTTCCAGGATCTAAATAGTTTCTCATTGCTTTTCCTGCTTTTGTTAAGATTTAAAGTTCCTTCACTGCAAGTTTATTCCGTTTCTTTTATCTGTTTATCCTTTCAGGTCTCTACACTTCTGCCGGTCGTTGGAATCATTATTTGCCTGCATGCAGCTACAAGAATCTCTCATAGAGCTCAAAACATAGTTTCTCTTGCTAGTAGATGGCATGCATTGGCAACGTGCACCTCTTCTGATGCATCTCAATTGAGAAATTCCGTTAGCTTAGGGAATTTGGAGGCTGCAAACCGTTTGAATTCATTATATTTGGATTACTCTGAAAGTGACGTAGAGTCATTGGATTACATTGGGATGTCTACTAATACCCAGCTGGCTTCTTATATGGCATCACAGCACAAGAGGCAAGCCTTTGGTATGTTACTCAACGAATTTTTGTGCATAGAATGTTGAATTTATCTAGTTGGTTATATTAATTTGTGATAATAACGGCATATTTATACATAAACATCGATGTATTAAATTGCTCCGCCACAAGTGGCTATGATTTTGAGCATGGACATTGTTTTCTTTTACCACTTAATTTATTCACATAGAATACTTGCTTCAGCCATGCAAGAATTCTCATACATCAGGGCCTGAAATAATTACTGATACATAAACTTTTGTTCCCTAAAACATCTACTGTGTTTGTATTTTGACTGAAAAACTCTAGAAATTTTTTTTCTCTTTGTAGTTCTTCATGGATAACAAGTTGTGATTTTTTGTATTTTTCTTGGTGCTGAATATTCAAGGCTGATTGTGTTCGTTTAGTCCAGCTTAAGACGCACATGGTTCATCTAAGAGAATACTAAATATCTATTTTAAGTTTTAACTTCCCGTAAAATGACATTTCCATCTGATATGCATCTATATCACTCTTCATCGTCATGGATCAAAACCAGCGTTTATATGTGATTTGATGATAGCAGTCTTACCAGACTCAACCAGCATTAATTTATGCTACTGCTGATTTGTCTTTGACTTTGGGAATCTTCTTCTGCATGGTACGAGCAACCAATATGTCATCTCTTGATAAAAGAATGAAAACCTGGAGGTTAACGTTGCAAATGCTGTTACCTGGGGATTCTTCTGCCTTCATAAAGAATCCATAAGTCATTTTTTTGTTTGTTGAACTCAATTTCTTATTTTTGCATCTCCCATTGAGATTATTAGTGCTAGCAAGATTACTTCTTTTACAGTAGACTTTCCTGTCTAATTCAATTTTTCTTCATTGGGTGTTCCAATCATGCTTCATCTGGAATTTATTGTTTTATGAAGCATTTTTGAAGTTTACAGATCATGTTCTATGTAGCTTCTGGTTTAAAGAATTGGAAGTAGATTGTCCGCTTGTTTTGTATGAACTGAGACTTGTTGCTTAAGCATTCCTTTAAATTTGCAGTGATGTATTTGCAATCTAATCCTGGAGGAATCACAATTTTCGGATGGACAGTTGACCGGTCTTTTGTCAACACGATATTTTTCATTGAGCTGAGTCTAGTTACCTTTGTGCTTGGCCAGACCATAGTTTAACGTGAATCGTGCACGCTGCGAACGCTAAGAAACCCTTCATGCATGGATTTCGTCATTTTTGATTGAAAGCTTCCAGGCATATCGATATCCCATTGATAGCTCCTCCTTGGCAAGGTATGGAAGTGATGTAAGCTGTTCCTCTTTGTTACCTTACACAGTAGCCTAGCAGAGGCAGACATGGGATGGAAACAGTGGTAAATTCTTCTGCACATCCTTTGAAAGTTATTGCACTGATGCAATTATGTGTCGCATTAGAAGAATATACAAGGTAATGACTGTCAAAATATAAAGATTGAGTTGAAATATGGATATATAACATTATTTCAAATTGACATCGAGTCAATATACTTTGACAGCTTTTACTATGCTGTTAAATATGTCATGTAGTGATTGTACCAATACAATATATATATCTTATATATGGACAGACAGCTTCTTGTCATTCATTGGTTTCAGAACAGTAGTAACTAGCTCTGCAAAAATGGCTTGGTGCAAAATTTGGCCATCTATACGTACTTTCATTTGCTCGACTAGTTATCCTTCTTTTTCCCTTGGAGGGAATGGTATAAAAAGTAACATAATATATGAAATTATTTAAAGCAATAACTTTATGGTTGATAAAAGCTGCGCCATTTTTACATGTTGATGATTTCAATGCAAGCAATTCGTTGTAAATGCTGGTAAAGGTTTCTTGTTATAATGGAAACTTGTTTTTTGATGGATGCTTGGTAGCTTAGTAGTTATATTATGTATAGTTATGATGTCATAAAGCAAATTATTTAATGAATAATTCTAATGCAGATGCAAAAGATTTGGACCATGTTCATGAAGATATGAAGTATATGTTGTGAAAATGACAGTTAAATCATTTATCTGGTGGCATTACTTACTGCTGAAATGAACATAGAAGATGAAATGATTACCATGATAGTACAAAAGACTTTGTTTCATTCTTTCATCCCGTGACCATCAATACACTAAGAACTATTATATAAATATATATATTTAAAATTGAATACAGCCAAAAAGATTACAGTGGCATGTTTATTGAATATAAAATATAACATAGCGGCTTCTGTACATTTTAGGATCAGGTCATGAATTATCATTGCTTGCCCAGAATCATAAAAAGAAAAGGGGAAAAAAGATTCATTTGATCTTTTAAGTTTTAATTCATTTATAACTCAATCCTTCAACAATGATTGAGTGTAACTCAGTTCTTAAATGTTTAATTCATTTGTCAGTCTTTAATTTTTCTACATTTAATAATTTAACTCTTATCATGCATAATTTATTTTTAATCCTCAAATGATTATCTTACACGGCAAAAAAAAAATCATTTAACCCATTAAAAATTGCACACGTCATCTAACTCAGCTTTCAAGCAAAAAAAAAAAACTTAGCTCATCGTCTTCTTCTCCCTCTTCCAGAGGCACATCCGATTCACCATCTTTTTCTTCCTCCTCACCCTTCTAGAGTCCCAAGGTACTCACCTCCCAGGATTTCCATTTCCGTACGTTGCCCAGATGACCATGTGCTCCTGTGCAAAGGTGATCTCCGCTGCTTAGTTTTTCTTACAGGAAATTATGGAATTAGGAATTCTGGATTGGATCACTTCAGATTTATGTAGTCCACATGGGAAGCAAAAATGGTGAAGACCCAGACAAAATTATGAAACAGCACCATCAAATTCTTGCTTCTATAATTCATACTGGTTTTCTTTTAGATTAATTTAGATGCTGTACATTCGCATGTGTATGTCTCTGGAAAGGCGAGGAGGAAGAAGAGATTCGAGGAGTGAGTGAAGAAGTAGATTAGGCTCTGGAACGGAGAGGAGGAAGGAGGAGACGATGATGAGATGATTTTGTTTTTTTGCTTAAGAAATTTGTTAAATACATATGAGCTGAGTTGGATCACATGTATGCAGTTTTTAATGGTGTTAAATAATATTTTGTGCAATGTAGGATAATTATTTGAGGATTAAAAATAAATTATGTATGATAAAGATTAAATTATTAAATATGAAAAGATTAAAGATTGAGTTACAAATGAATTAAAAATTTGGAGATTGAGTTATACCAAATCATAGTTAAAGGATTTACAGCTAAAACTTAAAGAATTAAAAGATTAATTTTTTGAAAAAAGATATAAAAAAGTTAGAATCTTTTGAAAACTCTTTTTATAAAAATTTAGCAATCACAATGTCTCAAGGGAGGGGGAAAAAGAGAAAAACCAAAATATACAAGAAATTTTTATTCCCTTTATATTTTCTCTCTATGGTCTCTTCTCTTTGTATATAATCTCATCCATTCATTTGACATAATCACAATGCATTTAGTATTATCACTTAAAATACTTTTGAAAACAGGATCACAATACTTCTTATGGTATATTCAACAAATAATATATTCGACCATCCGTGAATATAATAGATGAGTAAGTCTCTTTCTTCAGGCGAAGGATGACAAATATATATATATATATATATATTTATAGTTTGATGCTAGCGTTAGCAATTATACTACTTAAATTAAATAAGCAATTAAACAAACAAAAAAGATTGTGTGTAGAGAGAGAGAGAGAGAGAGGCATTGAGAGAATACATTACATAACCCGCACAAGGAGAGAAGAAAGGTGCGTCAAATTTAGGTTTTGGCGTGCGTCGTGCAGAGTCGAGACAGAGGAGGCACGGTGGTCGCCTCTCCAAATCCTAGATTTTCCTGCTCGCATGGTTCAAATTCAATCAATCATACTGGTTTTGGCACATTGGGTAAGCTCGAAAAACATTCCCTCCCCTTTCAGCTAGGTTGTGATTTTAGGAATAAATTGACAAATATCTCTGATTTCTCAACCTTTCTCCACTGCCGAGAGGTGTGGGAAATGGGAAGTGAGGGGAAATAAAAATCTCTAGCTGACTTGAAGCCACTTGAGATGAGAGTTCTGCCTTTCTGCTTTGTTTCCTGCCTTTCACCGGATTGCTCTGCCTTTCGAGTTGCTTCACTGGCCGAGAGGTTTCAGGTTTGGTTATTTGAGTACTCGTAGTGGAGACGGAGGCACAGTGTTAGATGTTAGAGTTGCGTTTGATTGATTGTTTTTTGCTTCCTCCGCTCCATTACTGTTTAGGTAATAATCAGAAGTGTTAGAAATTAGAAATTTAGAATGATGATTTGATAATTGAATTAAATTATATTATTTTAATATGATCGGTCCGACCCCGGTCCGACCCCTGGTCCGACCAGTGACCCTTAACTCACTGCCTCGACCGGTTTAGTTTCCGGTCCGGTTTTTTGTTCCTTGAAGAATACATTACATAACCCGCACAAGGAGAGAAGAAAGGTGCGTCAAATTTAGGGACTGTGGAGTAGGTACCTATAACAAATGCTGGGGCCAAATTCGGCTTATTTATATGTATTTTTGTACTTAATATAAAATCTAATTAATTAATTTTAAAAAATGAAATTATTTAATTATAATATATATATTTAATATTTATATGTATCGTTAGATTATAAAAAAAAATTAATTTTTCAGTCCCTATATTTCGTTTGAGTTTTGAATCAAGTTCCCCCTTTTTTCCCTTCATATCAAATCCTTTAAATTTTGTTTTTGATATAAAATCTAGTTAATTAATTAAAAAAATTATTAAATTATTTAATTATAATATATATGTTAATACTTACATGTATTATAGGAAAAATTAATTTCCCATTCCTTATGTTTGAGTTTTGAATCAGGTCCCTTTAACTTTTTTTTAAAAATCAAATCCTTTCAGTTTCATCCGTTATTAATGTTAGTCCCTACTACTGTCAAAACCGTTTAAAAATATTTAACACTGTTAAGCAATGCTGACTTGGCCGACAGGTAGACAATTAAATCTAAGCATCTGGTGGGGAAAGATAAAATCATTGTGCAGGACCAAACCTAAATGAGAAGTGGGTCATCGTTATCCATCGGACGGAGAGTCAAATCCGTGCTGCCAGTGGAAATCGAAGATATTACCTCTAGTACTTAATATAAGACTTTATTTGATTTTTATTTTAATTTTAAATATAAGATCTTAATCCACTTTATATATCATATTTATGTATTTTTTTTCAAGATAATCCTTCTTATAATAATAGTTCTAACTAATAATACATTTAATTAGTAAAGATATTTTAGGAAAGACAACACATATTTATTACAAATAACTAATTTAACTTCTTTCCTTAATATTCTCAAATTAGTCAACTAGCTCTTAATAAGATCAAAGGTAATACTAAAACGCCGCTTCAAGTCCCCGATAGAACATTTGAGAAGGTTCCAAACCTTTCAGAAGTATGGAGAAAACTTGATGAAGAATCCATTGTGTTTCTTACACTTGTGGTAGGGGCCAGGGTTCGTTCGAGGTTCTTGGAGACTTTGGCGACAATCTGGCAAATGGGTGGCTCGTAGAAAGAGAAAGAAGCGAGAGTTCTTCTTGGATAGCCCTTTCCTCTTCAAGGTTTGGCATGGGAAAGAAGGTGGTGATGATAAACACCATGAATGCATAGACAAATGGCTTCTCTACTTCGTTCTTTTTTTCTTTTTGAAATGAAATTGAATAGCGAGAAAGGACTATTTGATTTGGATTAATGTTCATTGAAGGCGAAGTCTTGGTATTGCTAGTTAGGTACTGGAAGATCTCCCTGTGGAAGAAATTGAAGCTATGGGAGTTGCCGCAGGTACGACAAAGAGTGGTATAGGTTTGGCCTTGATGGGTGTCATGAGAGTTGAGCTGATCCTAATAAGAGTTTTGCCGAAGAGGATAACCATGAAAGGGGAGACGTAATGGGTTGTAATGTAAAGTTTTGTAAAATGAAAGGAAGAACTCAAATACCCAATGTGCAAAAGACGTCAATGGTAAAAGAGTAGCTTTTGATTAAATTATTGTTTTTATGAAAACATTAGGATGTCCCTTCACTGGCTTGTGGAACAACTGGTCCTAGATTTTAAAGCTTTTCTATGTTCAAGATGAGAATCGAACCCTTGACACTTGGTTAAGGGAGGATGAGTCCTAACCGCTCAACTACGCCCTCCGGATTAATTACATTATTGTTTTTATACCTCTGTTTTTACAATTGAATGCCCAATAGTGTTAACCATTTTAAACAGTTTTAGACGGTAAGGACTAAGGGAGCTAACTGTGTAAAGTTAAAGGAATTGATTAAAAAAAAAGAAAGAAAGAAGAAGAATTGATTAAAAGTGAAAAAATATATAAGACCTGATTCAAAATTTAAGTTTAAGAACTGGGAAATTAATTTTTCCTAAATTGTATAACAATTTATAAGAGTAACATATTAGTTGAGCGAAAAACAATAGATGTAAATACTTTAATGTGATTTATTAACTTTCTTGATCGTATCAAATAAGTCAATTAGATCTTATATTAAAAACCAGAAAAACAATAGATGTAAATACTTTAATGTGATTTATTAACTTTCTTAATCGTATCAAATAAGTCAATTAGATCTTATATTAAGAACAGGATGTAATACTTTTATTTTGGGCCAACTGTTTTACGGGCCAAGTTGATTTATCCAACAGGCCCATCCTTGCAGAAGAGATGGGCCCAAAGTGAGACCAAAAGTTGTGACGCTGCCAAGATGGGACCAAATGCGTATAATACGCTAGGGTTTAACCAGGCTACCGCCTGCCGTTGCCCTTCTTTCTCTATATAATGGAAGAGTTGGGGAAGGAGGGTGAAGCAGAAACAGGAGTAGAACGGCCCCTAACATTGAGATTGAAGATTAGGCTCCCAGTGAGTTGTATTCTTCCATGATCATCGATCCCTTTAGTATGCGTGCGGTCCTTTTTGTTTTATGTTTGATTTACACTTGATTTCGACTTGACTTGTGGTTGCGATTTAGAGTATAAAGATCTGAGCAGATGATGAGCTGATTCAACTGCAAAATTGCTGATTGGTAATTCCATGAAGCTATTGAAAATCGAGCTTTTTAAAACTGATGCTCAGATCTCACCACGCTCCTTGGAATCGTCTCTGGTTAAGTACTCTCAGCCTGTAACTCATTTGATCGTTTCTCAATTTTCGGAAACTGCCATGTTAAATATGGAATGGGTTCCAAATTATAGAGGAAGATGAAGTTGGAAGCTTTTGATTCCTGCCATTTGAGGGGGGAAGAAAAAATTGGGAAATTAGGGTAATGGATGGGTAAAGAATTCTTTTTTGACCAATAGATGGGTAGAGGATTGAGATATAAGAATCTAAAAAAAATATAGAAATTATGAGTATAAATAGTTAAATTTATAATTTAATCCAATTTAAGTTTTGATATTTATTATGGTATGTGTAGTTTTATGAAGATTTGATTTATGGTCTCTATAATTTTATTGAGTTTTAGTTTGGAATTCGATATTTAAACTGGGGCCAATATTTTTTTAAAATTAATTTAGAATAAGAAATGACAACTCTTGCTTTAATTTTAATATTAATGTTTACCTCGTTATAAATTTTTTCTTACTAATTTGAGATTTAGTTTTGGGCTTTTTTTTTGGAGGCTTCAAACAAGGGCTGAGGGGATCGGCGTGAATCCTATTGACCCAAACATATATCACCAAATATGCTATTCACCTTCAAAACCTTTATTAGCTCACGCTTTGAAAATATTTCACTAGCTAAATAAACTTCTTGGGTCAGCTTCTGTGAAAAAGGGTTGAACTCATAAAGCCATAACCCGTAAAGCAATAAGGGACACTCTTTTCCGGTCAAAAAAAAAAAGGGACACTCTTTAAAAATGCTATACTGGTGTGGGCTTGTGAAGGGTGGATACCCTTTTTTTGACAGTAAGTTGACATAAAGCTAAAATATAACCTCATGACTGACACTAACAGGACAAGCACACTTTTACAAAGATTGCTAAATTTATTAGCTAAGTGGACTATTTCCCGAGTGTCAGCAGCTAAACTGTGAATAATTTGGGAATATTTCCAGTATAATTTGCAGATGCTTTCATCTCTTTTCTGTCAAATTCAGCAGGGTTTTGTTTCAGCGGGTGAAGAATCTGGGAATAATATGGTGGATAAGGATCCTATGGCTGTAAGGAATAAGGATCCTGAGAATTAGCAGTGCGCTCTTCTCTTACTAGCGCTTGATCCTTATGATTCATTCTGGGATGAGTGCTCTTTTGAGGAACTGGACTGCTTTTATTCGTTCCCTTCCTTTCTTTTAGCAACTTAAATAACTGGCTTTCGCGATTTGCCATATGAGGAATAAAGTGGATGATATCCAAAAATTGTTATACATAACCAAATACTACCTCCTTTGATCCTTAATATAAGATCCTATTTGATTTTTATTTTGGTCATAAATATAAGATCCCAATCTATTTTGTTTCTCATATTAATACATTTTTTTTTTCAAATTAGCTCTTCTAACAATGATAGTTTTAGTCAACATACTTGATTAGCAAGGATATTTTAGGAAAGACAACACCTATTTAGGACAAATAACTAACTCAACTTACTTTTTTAATCTTTTCAAATTAGTCAACTAACTCTTATAATTAGAACAGGAGGTAGTGTACTATTCAAATTCACGAACTTTTATTGGCTGATCTTGTACCAAGAAGGAAAACAAGACTGTATTGGCTGATTACAACACGCTTCTTTTTTTTTTGGGCCAGGATTATAACATGCGTGCATTTAAGGCTCAGATGAGCAAGATTGACGGTCAGAAAAAAAGAAGGGGAGGGGGGAGTTGAAAGGACAGATTTGTCATTTTACATGCATAAAAAAGTTCAACTAAATTTTAAAGGATTTAACTGTATTTTAGCAAATTTGTTGGATTAGAATAAATTCCAAATTTATAATCTATAATCATTTAATCGCTACATTAGCCCCAAAAAAAAAAATCTATAATAACCTTAAGGCTCAAGAATAGATTTGCATACGGGATTTCCTACAAGGGAGCTCTTATGCCATTAAAAGATAAGCCACTATATTGCTTCCATGTGCATGAATTATGAAAGCATTGGAGAAAATTGTAACCATGGACGGGAACTTCAAGTAAATCATCTATGAATCCTTTTTTAAATGGAATTTTAACCTCCCTGCCTTAAATGGACTCACGCATATAAATTTCTCATCCCTTCACAGCAGAAGAAGGAGAAGGCATTTTTGTCATGATACACATTTTTTTTAGTTGTATTTTTCTGTTCTTTTCTGACTGAACAAACATAAGGCTGCTGTGTTGGTTTACTTTCGTGATTGATCAAGTCGGATACTTCGGTCAAAAAGATTTCATCCAAAAAAATAAGTCCCTGCTTAACAAGTTTACATAAAAGTTTATCCAAGTATAAATCAAATTGTATCAATCAATTTTTACTTTAATTTCAGAAATTAATCGGGATACAAGTAATTTTTAACAATGTTAATCTTAACAAGATAGTATTAGCTCGAAGAAAGACTCTGGGTGTGTTTGGATGAAACCAAATCACGGTTTGGAGAATAGCTTTTTTAAAATAGATTTTGGGAAGAATAGATTTTGTAAAAAAGTGATTCTGAGAAGTGAGAGTGTTGGATAATTGTTATCAAAAGTACTTTTATATATACAAATTACTAAAAAAACATAAGTTAATATAATAATTATATAAAAGATAAATTTTATGATATATTTTAATTTGAAAGAATAAAATTGTTAATAATATATTTTTTACCAACATAATTAATAATACATAAGATAATATAATTAATAAATAATTAATATGTGTATATATGTTTATAAGATATAATGTTAAATATGTTTATAAAAAAATAATTGAGAAATCTTAAAGTCATATTATTGTTGAGATCTATTCTGACAGGCACAATCATATCTCCAATTTAAGCTAAAAGCAGAATGAATTCACTTCTCTTGAAACCATGATTTTGGCCCAAACCATGGTTTCAGATTATTGGCTCAAAAATGATGCTGTTTGGGTGACATCTCACCAAAACCATGGTTTTACCTCCCAAACCATGGTTTTGAGAGTCACCCAAACAGGCCCTCTAACTTCAAAAATTATTTGACGAGCTACCGCTTGTATAAAGAATTTAACATATTTACATAAATTAAGACTTATTAAATATTTGTAAATTATAATTAAAAAGTTTTAAAAAATTTTAACCTACTCAAATTTGCCCCATTATCCTCTCTCGCAGGTTTAGCTTTCCATTCTTGATATCTCCCTTCCCCCTCTGCTCTGTGGTCGATCTGCTCATGCAGGCCTATTGGTGAGGGGTTGGCTTCAACTCGCTATCGCAACCGCCAGTCGCCATGTCTGCTTCTTTGGTTGTCGTGATTTTCTCTACTCGGCGAATCTGCTGTTATTTCGTGTCACATGGGGATTTGAGGTTTATCGAAGTAAATGTAAAAATTCAATTTTATTTTAATTTTTTTTGCAGAATTTCAATAAATCCTAGTTAATTAATATCAAGTCAATGCCCAAAATATTTTAAAATTTCAGTCAATTCTCTTGCATTAAAATAAAATTAAAAGTTAAGGGCAAAAATATGATATATCACTTTTTTTTTATTTTTTTTATAAAACAAATATTAATTGTCACCGGATGTCCGGCCAAGGGGCTTCGGCCTTTAGCCTCGGCCACCTAAGCACCAATGGCTGGACCTCTGACTTCTAATGGCGAGTCATCAAAGCTCTGGTGGCTAGAGATTTTTTTTTTTAAAAAAAATAAGGTGGTCAAAGTGCGGTTTGAACTCATGACCTTTTGGCACATAAAAAGAATGTGGCAACTAACACAACCAATTCACCTAATCATATTATGCAAACACACACACACATAACAAAACACATGCAAGTATCAGTAATTTACAACAAAAATCCGGTAATTTATAAGAAACATAATTTGAGCTTAGAACATATGCAGCAAACAAAATCCTGAAACGTGATGTATCAGTTAGTAAGGCTATGGCTGAACTTGAATGCATGGAGGAAATTGTTTGTGACCCTGATTTGTTTCTGCGATTCCGTCATCTCCCGTTGTACAAGCCTTCTCGAGAAATTTTTGTTGCGCCAAGAGGACATAGGGAGGTATTGGTGGCTTGGCTGAGGTATCTAGCTTACGGTCCCACCGGGATATCGGAAACTTCCCAAGTCTTGGCAAATACAGGATAAGAAAGATGAATGCATGTCTGAGTGGATGGAGGGTTGGGAGAAAGTAGAATTGAGTGATCAAGATGAATACGCATGCAATAGGAGTAATTGATGAATCACGCGTGGTTAGTCTTTTTGAACAATCTAAATATATGCAACATATAATATCATGATTATATGTGATTGGGATGTGTTTTAGTTTCCTGTTGATGAGATAAAAATGTAGTTCACATGATATATGTGCGTTTGACACTGCATCTCAGCTCCCTTCATTAATTGCCCTCATCCACTTCAAGTTGAAGTAATCTTTCCTTGGACTTCATTTCATTTCCTATCAATTCCTGTCGTATTTAGTATTTACATTAATTTCACACTAGTCATCACAATAATTATAGGGAAAATTACAATAAAGTCCTAATAAAGAAAAATAACTGTCAACAATTCTTAATGAGGGTTATAAGTTATCATTTTCTATTCTGAGATTTGTTATTACAGGCTCCTTAAGTTGTTATTGGGACTTTTTGATAATTATGTTTCTTCTTTAAGATTTGATTGTAATTCTCCCATAATTATATTATTTATTAGCAAAATGTTATTTACTCGATACCGGCTTGCAAATGGTAATAAGGTGTTTAATTATTATCATCCAATTTTGATGTGTGCTAAGGAAAAGATTTTTAGGGTTTGAAAAAAAATATATATGCAATCTTATCACATACTCCTTTAGTCCGATTCATAAAACAGAAATAAAAGATTTTTTTTTGTCTTATTTATAAGTCATTTTATTAAATTTTAACCATAAATGTCCTATTTTATTTTTCATTTATTATAGTGTAAATATTTATACTTTTTTTAAAAGATGTATAAATTAAATAAAAGTAAAGTTAAAAAACTGTTACATTTTAATAGAGAGTTGATGTAGTTTAATATTTTCTTAGTTTATATAAAATATGTTGAACCTATTTATAAATAGAATCAAGGAAGTATGTTTAGATTCAAGGATTAAATACAAATCACATAGTTTGTGTAATAATAGCTATACAAATCGGACTGGAGCTAACCGATTATGGTTTTTCTTTTTTGGTTAGGAAAAGCCTGACTTTTTTTTTTTTTTGAGCTGAAGGGTAAAGCCCGAATTAAATCCGCTAATTAAAACCAAAAGTAGGCTTGCTGACTTCAATTTTCTTTTACAACAATGAATGAAGATTATAGTGTTTTATTACATTCAAGAATCTCAGATTAGGCTTTTTGGTTAGATTAAAAATTTTCTAAGGGCCTTTTTGGCAGAAAGAACTGATTAGAATAGGAAAAAAAAAATGGAAAGTAACGGAATAAAAAAATTTTGAGTGATGACATGTTTGGCAGCACTGAAATGAAAAGTAGTTGATGGAAAACTTTATGTTTGGTTGGATGAAAATGGGTTGAAAATTTGTGTAATTTTATCATGTTACCCTTAAAAATGCTTTTTAAAAAAATGAATAAAAATATATTATAATTTAAATAAATATAAATATTCAATATAAATATAAAAATGACTATAAATATTAAATGATTAAAAATAATTAAATAAAAATAAATTCACAAAAAAAGAAGGAAATTTAACCAAATATTTTTAGATGGCATGCATTTGTTAATTTAAATTTAAATAGGTCAAATGATTTATCATTGGAAAAATTTTTAAGTTTAATTTTTAATGCAACAAGACTCATTTAAAAACTCTTTTTATTTTAAAATTTATTTTCAAGATGGTGAGCAAAAGTCACAAATTCAAATCTACTCTAAGAAAATTTGAATTTAATGGAGCATATTCAACTTTTTTTAATCAAATTCAAATATGTTCATTTCTTTCTCCCAACTTAAAGTTTAACTATGACTTTATTAATATAATTTGAATTTATATCAACAAATTCTAATTTTTCACGCAAAATTTGAATTCATTATGTTTCTGTTATGCTTTGTTTTTTATGCTTTAAGCAGAACAATTTTTGATTATATATAACTTTCTCAGTTTAAGTTCAAATTAGGGAAACGACCTATCATTGAAAAACTATCTAGTTTTCAATACAACAAGACCTATTCAAAAATACTTTGTAATTTTAAAGTTATGATCCAAAAGGTAAGCAAGGATCAGAAATATTTTTCTCACCAGATTTTTAATCAGATTTGAAAAACGATATATGATTTATATAGAAGCACTTTTTTATTAAGATAGACGTTGTTAAAATCTTATTGAATGAAGGTTGATACTTGTTGGCCAATCTGTATGTGTTAGTTGAACGACTCAACAATAACAAAATAGATAAATATATGGCAAAGATGAAGATTCAATGATGTGTCGGGTGTTTAAGCAACTTCACATTATTTCATCGATCAAATACTGAGCATTTTATTCAAATTTAAAGGACAATTTGGTCTTTTGGATTTTCCCCCTTGTGATGGAAAATCGGTTCCCCCCAAAATCGGTCGTACAATGGAATATCTGCCGCTACCAGAAAATGAATTGCAGGAAAATATTGCAACTAAACACACGGTATCGATGAAAAATCAGCATTTTCCTTTTAAAAGTCAACATTTTCCTTTTCCATTGCAACATTTTTGCTCTAAGTTTGAATTTGAATTTTAATATTTAATTAAATTTAATTGGAATTCTCCTTTTTAATTATGCACCTAAGCATGTTATCAATCCTAACTTTAGTTTGCAAAATGCAATTAAAAGTTTTGCAACCACTAATCCAAATAAGCTTCGGAATTTCTCTTTTTATTTTGGCCAACGAAATTTGGAAGTCTTCTTAATCATTCACAACATTATTATTATTTCCTTAAGTAATTTAAGAACACTTGCAATGAATAAAAATGCATACATACAAATATATACACAAATATATATTGATAAAATAGTCGCATATTTTTTCTTGTCTTCGCCTGATTAGCACAACTGACATCAGAGAGCAGTATTTGGCTATTTACCTGTCTTCGCCTGTTGAGTTCTGCAGAGAGCTAAGACTAACCCAACCAGTTTACTTAAAAGCCATCTCATCTCGGTGGAAAGAATAATATGTTTGGACAGTTAGTTCCGTTACATAAACTAATCCAATCAGATCAGATACACTTTTTTAATTCTACTTCTGAGATGAGCAAGGTCAAGTGCACGAAGAACACTGAAGGCACCTTTAGAACGAGCACTAACAGCAAGAGTGCTATATTTCTGGGGTTAAGTGTAAGACCGCATAATGGTAGTTTAAATTTCTGTGCTATGGTATGAACAGAAATTAACCATAATTCAACCGTAAGAAGCATCGCCATTATTTGATCATGGTCAGTAGATGGCCAATAGCTGCTGTAAGGATTCCAAGTAACATACCAGCAACCACCTGTAGGATAAACAGGAATATTCAAATTTTAAAAAACAAGGTGCCATGATGAAAGAATTCACGATTACAATTATAATCATTCAATCAGGTATTAGACACAAAACTCATTTCATAATGCATTTGGAATGAAGAAAATGCAGTAGAGAAGGGGAAAAATTAGTTCGATTTACGTTACATTAAAGAGTGTTTATATCAAACCCCCCTTTCTTTTCCCCTTCACATCTCCATTTTCTTCGATTTAAATTTATCACTAAAGGCATATATTATTGCCTACGTAATGACAGATTCATCATCATCCACATAGCATTATATATTAACATAGCAAGCTATCATTCTGATTGCATTCAGTTTATGTATATGAATCAATGAAAACCTCGGACAATAACCTTTCAAGGTCAGCTACATTATACATGATAAGCCACGTATGTATCCTAACAGAACTGATAGCATTAGAAACTTCACATGCGTCAACAGAAGGAGTCAAAATACTTGGATTCTAAAACTCAAGTGCATACAAGTAGAACGTGGGCCATGCTGAAGGATATGTGAAACTGGGTGTCAGCTTCCGTGGGGAGTTGTCAGTGATTGCAGGCATTAATGTAGTATTTTACAAGATATTTAGGATTATCTATTTCCTTATGTTCAGGGAACTAGTTAGGTGTTAATTGGATTTGCTTCTATCTAACAAAACCTATGTTCGCAGTAAGGAATGTAAGTTTGATTTTAAGAAAACGTATTCCATTGATTCTCGCCTAAAAGCAAAATCTTATATTCAATTCTCCACATATTAATATCATTGTTAATGACAGGTTTGTTGTGCATCCGCATAGTTATTAAACATCAAAGCACACCACAATCCTGAACTAGCCATTTTGAGTTTGACATAGCAATCATTTGTTGAGGGTACAATATGTAAGTCAGTAATTAATAATTATAAACAAGCGTTGTAACGCAATTCCCTTTGTTAAGCTTAGATCCAGCTGACCTGAGGAGGGGTATGCCCAAGAAGTTCACGAAGTGGTCTGATTTCAGCTAGAGGATGTTCAGCAGGAAGTTCATATACAATTTGATTCAAAACCTGGGGATAAAACCAATCATCCAAACTCAGTATAAACAAACTATAGAAAACCAAAACAAAGGCAAACATGCCCTCACTACAATAATAGGCAAACAGAAAAAGCTTCCGCGGTATTCATTCTAATACATGCGATGAGAGAGATGAATGGATGATAAA